CACAAAGCCCCACAGTTCACCCACACCTAGTCACAATTGGTAGCGGCTTCCCTATTATTTATAATAAGGAACCACCATACAAGGAAATGTGAGTAATATGGAAACCACAAAACATTTCCTTTTTTTATTTTTGTCTATATCTGGGATGACTGATTCAAAACATCAGTAAATGGAAGTTAAAGTGCATCTTACTGCAAAACAACTCAACATTGGCTTTAAGTTTGTTTGTTTTGTTTTTTATTGTTCTGTTTTTTTCTTATCGTGGGGAATATGTGAGCCACACAGTGTGAGACCTGGGTGGAGATTCCATTATGGTTCCGATTGCTGGCATGAAATATTTGGCATATGTGGACCACATGGTGCAGATTTGGGCACCAGTGCAGCAGCCTGCACCTACAAGGGTACATGACACTTGATCAACCATATTTCAGACTTACCAAAATATCCTAAAGGTTTAGCATTTGTAAGACTAGCAGATAAAACAGAGAGTGAGCACAGAGTCTCTAAAACAGATAAAGATCCTCAACACAAGGAGCTTCTAAAGCTTTTTCACACAAAAGGTTTTTCTTGGTCATCTCAATATTGCTGTCAAAAAAGGAAAGGCAGGCAAATTATGTGTATATGAAAAATATTACCATGTTCAACATAAATGCAGATGCCTGTAAATAGTTTTCACATTCTGTTATTTGAATTACTTCCCCTAAAGTGCATCTAACAATAATACATATCAACAGCTGTAAAGTTAAATTAATCATCTTCTATTGAAGCCCTGTTTCCTCAGTGGAGGAAGTCAATCCAGATGTCCTAATCAAATAACAAAGGAATAGATATTTTTGATTTAACGTGAACTCAGCTGACTCGTATTTTTTTCCAGTAGACAACAAAAGTATTGTTACACAGCCTTACCTTTTGCATGTTTTTCCTTGTTTCATCAGCTTGACCAGACACAGTTTAAACTCAGTCTGCTGGCAGTGTCTGACAAAAGTGAATATTTTTTTGTATCATTTTGACTGATGGTCAAGTTGGACTGGAAGTGAAACTGAACTGCCTTGTCGAGAAAAATACACACGCCAGCCACTTCATTAGGAACACTTTGCAAGTTCTGTCATAGAGCGACTGTATGGCGAGCAGGTTTAAGACCCAAGTGCAAGATGCCAATAGCCCAAAGATGACTCCATAAACAGCTTTATTGTTGAACTCTTTTCAAAACACACAAAAAATTGGTCAGTAGTAAGTAGTGATGTTACGTCTGACACTGGCCCCAGGCCTGTGTCAAGAAATAGGGGCGTATCCAAATGAAGCCTGAGTGGATAAATGGTAAAT